TATATATATATGTATATGTGAAATTTGTTGCTTGTTTTAAAGAAAAAAAAAAGAAAAAAACTAAAGAAAGGGGGAAACATGCTAAAATTACAATACAATGCAAAAGGGGGAAAAAAATGTATAAAAAAAAAATGTCTAAAAAAAAACTGTACAAAGAAGAAAAAGCTGGAAAAAAAAAATTATATTTTGCGCCATCAAATAAACGCCTTTACAAATAGTTCTTTTTTTTATTATTATTTTTGAAAAAAAAAAAAAAAAATTTAAACCTTTGGATGATTATATACCAATTTTTATACTACAGTAGTTTGAAATGACAAACTACTAATTGGGAATCCTGATGGTCCTGATCTCGCACTTAAAAGATTTCGCTTTGCAGTGTAATATACACTACTAATTGGATAAGTATATTGAGTTTGACTTGTAGTAGTTCTAACGGAATATGATGGACGAACTCCATAATTTGATGATTGTTGTGATGAAAGATTATAATAAGCAACTTGTGATGCTCCAGTACTTTGTGGAGGAGTTGGATATGCTATTTGAGTATATTGAGCCTGTGATGTTTGAACAACTAATTGTTGTTGTGAATTTGAAACATTCGAATATACAGGGTATACATTTGGTCTCTTTGGTGGAGATATCATCATACCATCAACAAAAGCTTGTTCCGCAGATCTTTTGAAACCAGTTGACATTGATTGTACAGGAACTAAAAATTGACGTTGATTTGATTGATTTGATTGTTGACTTGATTGTTGCTGCTGTTGTTGTTGTTGTGATGATGATTGTTGTTGTTGAGGTAAGTAAGATGGTTGAGATGAATATTGAGTATTTTGTTGAGAAACATTCATAACTAAATCAGAAGTATTATTATTACTTTCATCATGATCACCCAAAGCAACAAAAGAATCCATCTTTTTCACCCATTCAAAATATTGACGTTCAGAAACATATAATTCATAATCCAAAGAACTTAAAAATTCCATTTCCATAGTATTAATTTCAGATACAGGAATATTTGTAACTTCAGACCAAGTTTTGTTGGTATAAGTATTATCATCCAAAAATTTATTTGCCAACATAAGAGCAACAGTAAAAGTTCTATACTCCGAACCATTTTGACCTTTTATAGTAGGATTATTTATCTTCATACGATGAATATATAATAAAGATAAAAGAATCACAGAATGTGAAACTTGAGTAGCAGAAATTACATCTTTACAAAACTTTTTAAACGCGTCCCTTGGTTTAAATTCAGCATATCTCCTATGACCATTCCCACCTGGGGGTGGTGGAGGAGCTATTATTGAAGTAGGGGTATGAGTATCCATCAAATAATCACCAAACCATAAGAAACAAGTCATATGAGCGGCGAATTCAGAAGCACGTTCAACGGGAACTTGTTCCAGTAATGAAACCTCATGAGATATTATTGATGAATTTTTTGATATCTTGTTATTATGATTATTATTATTATAATTATTATTATTATTATTATTTGACGATGATTGTTCAGAATAATATTGAACGTTCGACTTTACTCTAGTATGTTCAGGTTGTTGTTGATCTCTTCGTTGTATATATTGAGTTTGTTGTACCTGTTGTCTTTGATGTGAAATCGGTAAAGGAGGTAAAGGTTTCCTTTGTAAATTTATAGTTTGAAGCGAAGAATAATTTGTAGTAGCGGCAGGTAATGAAGCAAGAGTAGTAGTTAAATACATCTTTACGAGAATTTTTGATTTTTTACGTGTTTTTTTTTGTAAGAAAAAAAAGAAAAATTGATATAGATATTATTAGAAAAAAAGTTTATTATGAAAAGAAAACAAATTTTTTTAGCTAAAATTTTTATATGTCAGAAAAAAATATAAAGCTCTTATATATATAGATTTTTTTGATATATATATATATAAATCGCGTGTCTCTTCTAAATGAAGAAAAAAAAAATTTTTTTTTTTTTTTTTTTTTT